TTCCTTCCTTCCTTCCTTCCTTCCTTCCTTCCTTCCTTCCTTCCTTCCTTCCTTCTACAGCTGAATTTGATAAGAGTTCTACCAATTTCTTATTCTACCCCAAGTAACAGGAAAAACAGCAAAGCATCCACCATTAGATGCATGTGACAGGAAGGTGCCAAGTGGGGGAATCAATGGAGAGGGCTCATACAAAAGGTCTATCAATGAAAGCCATGTGTCCTCAAGGGCTGCCTATGACCAGGAAAGTGATTGGCACTTGTTTCCCTGGCACAGAGGGATAAAGGATTGGGGGTAGCCACCAATCAGGGGCTCTGGTAACTGCCATCCAGACAGTACAGTTGGCCAACATTGTTCCCAAAGCTAAAGAACAAATTGAAATCTGTACAGCAATTTCTCTAGTCAGGTTCATTTCCAGCTGGGTTCAGCAGAGGAAGGAAGCAAACTAAACTAAACTAAACTGTGATATGGAAGAGCCCCAGGACTGATTGTACCTGATGAGTTGTACATTGCTCTAATGAAAAGAGAACTCACCAGTGGAACTCAGCATCTTAATGGTTGAATGCCGGGGTGGAGAAGGCCTTTGGTTCAATTCGTCCATTTAAAAGACTCTCAGGTGACAAACCTGGGAGAAGCCCTGGCCCTCATATCCTCGACTGCTATTGTCAAGCAGGGCAGGGAGTTCTGTTGGAGCAGAGAATCACTGAGCACGCAAGCTAAGGCTTAAAAGGTTTCATGCAGAGTGTTCTCTAGCAACCAGAACAGAAATGCACTGAAGTGTATACCGAGTCTACAGATTACCTCTAAAAACTAATGTATTCTGTATGAATGCCTGTGTGCATGGTTGTTTGAGGGACTTGTTTCAGCAAAGGCCTGACACTTTATCTGTAAGGTAGCAGGGTATTCATTCTGTCAGTCTTTCCTGCCAACAAATGTTTGGCTGACCAGTTGCATCACCGTTTAAAGCAGCTTCAGGTGTTCATGCAATATTTATGGGGGGATTTTTAATTGTTGATGGGGTTTCTGATTTTAATTGTGAGCCGCCCAGGGTCACCCATTGGGGGAGATGGGCGGTACACAAATTTAATAAATAAATAAATAAATAAATAAATCCATCCATCCATCCATCCATCCATCCATCCATCCATCCATCCATCCATCCATCC